CCCCCCCCCCCCCCCCCCCCCTCTTTGTTCCTCACCAACTCTGTAACCTGTACAGTCTCATTCCATGTTCCCTGGTTTGGAGTGAACTTCCGCTTGTGTTTTGAGTCTGTTGGATGCTTCTTTTTCTTTTGTTTTTCAAAACTTTCTGCCACTCCACACAATCACTTTCGCACGTGACTAGCTGTGTCTTTAGCGATTTTGCTCGGATGCTCTGGAGATGAAGACTAATCACTCCTTTTAGATGACAGATGAAGAAATAGGACATCAGCCTTTAAGGGAAATGAAAATGAGAGAAAGTAAGGAAGTGAAAGAAGAAGCAGTTTGTCTTCTCTTATCTCATGACAAACCTCACACACACACACACCCTGTGGCGATGGCTGCACACAATGGCAACTTTGTCCTTCATAAAGTCAGTAAAGCCTCCATACCCAATCCCACTGACGAATACAATTTATATTCAGGCCAGAAGGAGTTAAAACTGTCAGATCAGCCGATGTGTGGTGCTTACAGAGGCTGAGATGTTATCTTTCTGCTAAGCCTGAATACATGGCTACTGCAGAGCTGTCGCTAAGAGGATGTGATGACTCATGTCATTGCCTCAGAGCATGTTTTTCACATCCCCAAACTGCCTCGTCCTTCGATGAAGTGTTAAATTATACGACCATGCCTTTCAGCTAAATTTCCTTTTGTCCACACATTCTTCTTCCTTGTCAAATGCTATGTTACCCATAATGCAAATCTGCTGACAGTTCAGTCAGAGGGGAGCTCCAACCATCAGCGACTCAGGTGACATCACTTGAGGCAATTTATCAGAGTTCACTTAGCTAGTGTTGCTCCGATACTGATACAAGTAACAGACATGCCTCCGATACAGCTTTAAATTCTGGATCTGGTTGTGTCGAGTATGTGAGTCTATGCATACAATACAGTCTCATACATGATAGCAATCATATCACATCCATATAGAGTTAGTAGTATACAGCTGTTAAAAAATGTGATAATGATAATTCACTGGTATGGGATCGGTAGTCAGTATCGGCTGATACTCAAGTTTAGGAACGGGAATCGGTATCGGGAAGGAAACGATCTGTAGCTTAATCCAACATTTTTCAAATATGCTGTCGTTCTCCCAAGACCTGTAAACGGACTTACATGTGTAACATTGGTGCAGTTCCCCTTAAAGGCACAGAGTAGATATTGCACAGATCTAAATTATCTAAACATATGAAGTCGGATTATGTTTGCCCTTTATGATGTGTGTAGATAAATCCTTTTAGATTTTTACTGTTATATGGACGTCCTGGTCCCTGCTGCGATTCCCCTGGATTCACTAAATTCTCTCCAAAGTCCTTGCATCATCATAAAAGACACTTTATACTCTGGACAAAGATATTCAAATTCTTACCACTTACCACTGACTTTGTATTACATGGACTTTACTAATGTATTCTTTGTTTTCATACACGTTGTGTTTTCTGGTTTTGGTGGCAGTCTGTGGGAAGCGCTACAAGAACCGTCCTGGTCTAAGCTACCACTACGCCCACTCCCACCTGGCTGAGGAGGAGGGTGAGGAGAAGGAAGAGATGGAGATCAACGAGCCTGCATTGCCGCAGCCCAATGAGTCTAAAAGTAATCGTAAAAGCATTCGCTGTCCTCAAGAGATTTCGCCATTCGATTGCTGAGTTCAATGTAGAGCTGGACGTCTTAGAAACTGAACACTGATGCTCCTTGGGTGATTTCATCTTGTTTCTCAGCTCCCAAGAAAGGCCCAGATGGTCTCGCATTGCCTAATAAGTATTGTGATTTCTGCCTGGGAGACTCCAAGACCAATCACAAGACCGGCCAGTCAGAGGAGCTGGTGTCCTGCTCCGACTGCGGACGCTCGGGTACGTTTTGAGACGCCTGGCTGCTGCAACAGGAAATGTGTGCAGCAAAGTGATGTGTATAATAAACGTTATTTTACACTGCAGGCCACCCCTCCTGCCTGCAGTTCACTCCTGTAATGATGGCTGCTGTGAAGACGTACCACTGGCAGTGCATAGAGTGCAAGTGCTGCAACATCTGCGGCACCTCAGAGAATGACGTAAGTTCACCTCCATTCAGATTTCTTTTATGTATTGTAGAAAGCTGAAGTCTGATGTTTAACGTGTTCTTGTTGTCCTGTTTCTTCCAGGATCAGCTTCTGTTTTGTGATGACTGTGATAGAGGCTATCACATGTACTGTCTCAACCCACCCATGGCTGAACCTCCAGAGGGTAAGATCACTGCCTGTGTAAAAAACAACTAAGTCTGAGTTGAGTGTATCAAAAATGTACCTTAGTGACAGGGATGTAGAACTAAAACTACTTGGTTATAAAAGTGTCATTACATTTGTATGTAAATCATGTAGAATAAGTAAACAAGTCTTCTTCAGGCTCGTGGATGTGTCTGACATTAATCGATTTGTCTCTGTTATTTTGGCCCTCAGGGAGCTGGAGCTGTCATTTATGTCTGGAACTTTTGAAAGACAAGGCATCCATATACCAGACCCAGAACGCCCCACCATCGTGATGGCTGCCTCCCCCTGTGCACACACTCATCACTCACCCGTCCCGCAGCAGTATGGTTTACCCTTCAATATCAAACGTGAGCTCCCCTGACGAGCTGAGCTCGGAGGGAGTGTGTTCGGAACAGACAATAAATTGTGAAAAGGGATGTTTCCCTCACCAAACGGCCCTCACGTAGCTTCAGATATGACTGTTACACAGTTCCAAGCTCAGATACAGCCCCGTTGATTTTTATTTTCGTCTCTTTTGTACGTAGCCAATTTGAGCAGTACTGAATTTCACAGCATAAATAGACTAAATCTGACCTCCCATTCAGGTTTTTTTACACACACAGTCGCAAAGTTTGCTAAAACCTTCTCTATCCTGCAGTGTACTGATTTTATGAGAAGAGCAGAAATGGAGCTTGTTTGAATGAAGTAGCATGCCAGTGCTTGCTAATCATAAAAAATAGATTTTATAATATTTATATATTTCTATGGTATACAATAGTGTTAAGTATGTACAATTTGGAAAGAAAAAAATGGTAATGCAACGGTCTTTTTATTGGTGCCCATTTCATCATGATGGAAATATCCACAACCACGTGTTCTTTTATGGCACTGGTGATATTTGGGGGATTCTCTTGATGGAGTCAAAGGGATCTGCTGAGACTGTAAAGGATTTAGCATCTTATCCACTGGCCACACAGAAACTTCAGGCGCTATGAATAGAAACCCTTACGTGGCTCCCATAGCTGAGGGACTCGAGGAATGGCAGGTTAGACTAGTCTGGTTGTTGACTCGTGTGTGCTTGGGGCTGATTAAGCAGCACGGAGCTTCGAGAGGATGCATGACATAAAAGTGTGCATGTTTTATTCAGGCTTTGGGGCCTTTTTTGACAAAAATGTTAGCTTCTTGACATTAGACTGAAAAATCTTCAATCTGCACACCTACACACGCCTTTGTTAGACAGACGATGGCTGTTCCAGTCAAATCAAAAAACAAATCTTACTTGCATAAAAACCCTCTGTTGCTGTGTTTTAGCAGTTTGCTCATCAGCACTATATCTAATACCTGTTTATGTGACACCATTAGATTATTTTAATGTAACTGAGGACTGGGCAACCTTGTAAATGGTCCCTTGATGACGATATAGAAGCAATACAGGAGCTCCTGTAGGAGGCTGGGATGACGGGGATTCATGGCAGAGTCTGTTTAAGCTCTGTTGGCAGATAATGTGGAAAATGCTAATACAGATAGGAGACTGTGGCAACAAATATGGATGACTCCATATTGTAAAAAGAGATTATAATGTGTATATGTATAATCCTATGAAGAACTGTTCTTTTTGTCACTGCTTTCATAGTTTTATTATGCAATGGTTTCCTTTTGTGGCAATGCTAAAAGAAACGGTCTAGTTACTTTACCTCAAACAGTATTTAAAGGGTTGAAACATGCTGTTGCTAGATGGCACAGAGGAATACATAGTAATGACAGCTGCAGTGTCTGCTTCAATAGCTGCATATTCTACAGGTAAATAAGTGCATGCTCCGTAATCGTCTGCACTCTCATACGCTACGTATCCGTCTCAGCGTTAGGCCGGCAAGGTGTGGGGAAGTGGCGTAATATAAAATAACCAAGCCATCATGACGTTTTATTAGCCCACTAACAATTACTACATAAGTATAACTTGGTTTATTTTCTCATCACGTTTGAACTTGGTTATGTAGAGACGGTGGCGACTAGAATACTTTGCTGGTTGTTTTTGTATTCATGGATGATGTTTGCGTACTCTGTGTGGGACATTTGGGATACAGTGGAATTTGCTCTCTAGTTAATCCTGTGATCCAGGTGTCGACTGCGCTGCTCTCTTCCAAAGCTCAAAACAAGAAGCAAAGCCCGTAATGTGATTAAGAGACAAATTCTGGAGCTGCACCTTTTAACACTGGATGGTTAAGTAATGTACTCGGTATCTACCTTCTAGGCTAAACTTAGAGGCCATGAACAAGAAGGAAGTCCAACTGTTGTCATAGTATATTTTTTATATATAAATAAATCTCAGATTATGGTTTTCTGGTCTCGAGCTTTGGGAGAGAAGTGTTCATCACGACAAATATTAAAACTGAGGTCACAGGTTTACATAGATGGATTATCTTTGGATTGTGATGGAATGTTTTATTGTGCAAAATTTTGTCTTCAGGAAATAAAATACTAGGCGCTATAACCTGCTGATGTTCTTTTTCTCTTCCTCAATGAGCATTTGAGAAAGTAATGATGAATTGGCAAAAATATTGACAAATCTCATAAGCACATTGAGGCACATTTTTGTTAATGATCACTGCATCGATGCTATACAGGCTTAATTAGTGCCCAAAAATGACTGAGTTCCCCAATGCTCAATTCTCAGGCCTCTTTTCAACACTTACTGTGCATTAAGAACAAACACAATATTCAGTTAAGGGTCTGATTCTTATGTTAATGAGCTATTTCATTTTCACGTCACAAAAATGATCAAAACAAAGCTAAATGTGATTATTTTGACTGATTGTGATTTGAAGTATTGTAGGGAATGATAATCTTTACACTTATTTTTATAGAAAAATATAAAAATT